TTTAGGGTTTGGGGCTTAGGGCTATAATTTTGGGCCTGAAAAACCTTAGACTTCGGGGGTTTTGGATGTCTGGTTGCCTGGGCTTGGTTTCGCAGGTTTAGGTGATATGCTGAACTCCTTTCCCTCGTTGCGTCCGAGCTCTGGTAGGAAGGCCTTTTCGAGCTCTGGTAGGAAGGTTTTTTGGGCTTCGGATTTGGGAGTTCCTTTAAGATTCTTTTAGGCGAAACCCTGATTTCTAAACCCTAAACTCTGAGCCCTAAGCCCTAAACTGTAAACCCTGGTCCCTAAATCCGCTCCTTTAAAGAACCATTTCCGGACTTTCCCAACATCGCTCCTCCGGCTTCCTCGTCCCCAGAGGCACCGTGGGATTTTGCCGGGTGCCCGTCGGAGCCTCTGCTTTGTTTGTTTAAATTCCTTTGGGGGTTCCACGAGGGTTCTGAGGGTTTGTTGAGGGTTTAGGGTTTAGGGTTGAGGGTTTAGGGTTTAGGGTTTAGGGTGCCGCTGGCTTATCTTCTGGCTGAGAGGCCTGTTACTTTGAACTACAGCCCAATGCAAACTGGCATCAATCTTCGCACTTCAATAGCTTGTACTGCAGAAAAGTGTGTGCTTTATGGATGTATCGAAAAAATCGTACCAGTTAGTGTCGCTTTTTGGGTTCCCTTTATCTGAAACTCCCATCCAAGCTCTTCGCAGGATCCTTCTTGCGCCATAAGGACCCGAATAGAAGGGACCCCCGAAGTGAAGACATCGGACACTGAACCCCATAAAATTAGGTTTTAGGGTTTAGGGTTTAGGGTTTAGCACTTTCATAATAAGAAGCCCATGAACCCCTATCAAACCCCTAGACCTAGCGGTAACTAAACCCAACCCAACCCAGAACCCCTCTCAACCTCTAAACGCTAAACCCTATACAGGCCCCAGTAGAACCCTGCGACCATCCCGCAAGGTCTGGTTTAGGGCTTGGGGTTTTAGGGCCCCGTAACGGGGCACTAAATTACAACAACCACGTCCATCGAAAAGAACGACACCCGGAACACTAAACCCGAAGAGCCCGCAACCCGCAAAACTAAACCTAAACCCGTCGGTAACTTGGAAACACAAGCCTTCTTCCTCCACACGACCCCTGAAACCCCAAATCCTACAAACAAAAAGCCTCCAAAAGCCCTGAACCCACACCCTAAACCCTCAAAAGCCTCCCAAAACCCCTATCTCCAATCACCTAAACTGTGTGTTTAAGGGCACTCAAAGCATTTACGAGCAAAGATGCATTCCACCATGCCACTTAGCAAAACATAGGCCCTAAACACCTAAAGCCCTAAACTCGAACTAAACCGAACAGTCCAGAAACAAAATTACAAAAACCACCGGGAGCACAAGCATAAATGAATCTTAGCAAAAACTCTCCTAAACCCTACTTAAACCCTAGTCTTACAAAACGAGGGAAGGGCCTCAGTCTCGGATTCCCCGTCGCTGCCCAGGGCGGGCGGTGCAGAGGGGACGAGAACGGAGGCGAAGGGCCTCGGGATAATTCTTAAATGGTTTAGGGTTTAGGGTTTTTGGTTTAGGTTTATCGGTCCCCAAACCCCGAAGGGGGGTGACCGAAGGGTTTAGGGCTTCGGATTTGAAATCTAGGGTCTAGGGCTTGGGGTCTAGGGTTTCGCCTCTTTTTTGTGAGAGCTCCTCTTCTGACTGCTGTTACTTCATTACCAGGGGCTTATGGTTGCGAGGGATCCTGTTAACGGTTCTAGAAGGGCTCGATGAGGGATTAAAGGGCTTAGGCACGAAATTGATTTCAAAGGGTTTGCGGCATATATTCTGCTATGGGTGTAACAAGGACTACAAGGGAATAGTATGTCTATTTATTCCGTTCTGGGTGTTGGGGTGGCGAACCGGGTTCTACGGTTTGGAATGTGGGGTTTGGGTCCACAAGGCCCTAAACCCTAAACCCTGATTACTAAATCCTCAACGGGGTTCAAAGGTTGCAAGAGTTGAGACCCTTTAACCCTAAAAAACTGAGCCCTGCGCCGTAAACCTCAAACCCTTCACCATAGATGAAACGTTCAGACTGCAAATCCCATACGCTATCGGCCAAACGAAGCTCCAAGGTGCATGACCACTGGATATTGAGGGTGAAAAAATCAGGCTCACAGGGACCCTTTAGGGGTAGATAGAATCCTTTACCAGGACCGAAATGGCCTCAGGATGAACAGCCAAGGCATTCTGTTCGAAGTATGCACCGCATGTGCAAGCTAACCCCATAAAAGCAAATTCGGCGGACATGTCCATCAGCCAGCGTCTGAATTGAGATGCCAATGACCCCGCTTAAAGATCCCCTCAAACGACCTCCATGGTTGCGCAAAGCTTCTCAAAATGCCTCTCCCATGTTTAGACAGGGGCCTCCACAGTTCACTCGTGCTCTGAGGAGATAACTGTCAGGTGTCCTGCTCATGTCTCTAGTTCGCAGGAGGAGAAAAGGCCTTCCCAAACCTGCCAAAAAGTATTGATGCACTTTCTGTTGGCAGGGTCATGATCTCTGGCTGGTTTTGGGGCCGCTTCATAGATCTTGGCGAGAGGTCTGGGCCGTCGGCTCCCAAAAGCCATGAGGTTCCGCCTGGCTCCTTTGCCGAGGCTATGAAGACGAGGCTGTTTATAAGGAGCTACAGAAACCAAGGGGGCCAAAAACGAAAGCCAAGCTTGTGTTGAGGCAGCCTCCAGTGCTCGAGAAGCTGCGCCACAGCGCTCGTAGGATACTCGAGTGCCCAAAGAACTCGGAGCTCCATCGGGCTCCAAGCCGGGCCATGTGGTCAGGCTGCACCGAGTCTCCAAAAGAAGTTGAGGCTCATGGCCGTTGCTTGCCGGCAGAGCAGCACTAAGTCAAGTTATCTTGCTTCGACGGCCTTCTCCTCCGAGCCGAGCTAGTCTTGCTCCTGATCTCTTCCGCTCATGCTCGGCTCGACAGGCTGCCTCTTCTGCAAGAGTCTGCCACTGCGCCATCGTGGAAGCGACCATACGTGCAGTCAGGGTTGAGGGTACAGGTTCGATAGCTGAAGAGGTTTACGAATCAGCAACATTTAGCAAGGTTTTAGGTGGTTGGCTGTGGTATAGGCTTAACATGATGCGGGGTGTTGGACTTTAGAAGGGGTTTAGAAGGCAAAATCTTTATTGGTAGCGTGCCACCAAATTTTGTGTTGCCTGCCAATCTTCCAAAGAGGCGCCATGCACAGTCGCCCAAGCCCTGAACACTTCCCCGACACCCTAAACCCTAACCCACCATGCCTGAAATCCTGGCTATACCCTAAACCCTAAATCCTAAAGGATCCAAAACCCTAGCACTCATCGGGTTTGGGGCCGGCGGCTCTACTGTTCAGGATTTCCGCCCCCACTCCCGGCGGGAGGTAGATTTAGGATTGAGGTTTAGGGCTAATGCTTGTAGGGACCTTGTCGTATAAAGTATCCCTTATAGCAGAGGATCCAGACTAACTCGCAAAGAACGAAAAACGCTGATCCCTGAAACAGGAGGTTTAGGGTTGGCTTAGGCTTAGTGTTTAGGGTTTGGGAGTATTGGGGAGTGTCGATTGGGGTTTACGTGGTTCGGTAAGAACGACCTACAGGCTTATGACACGACGCTCGACAATGAAATTGACACGAGCGGAAAGTAGGAGCGGATGAGTTCGATCCGAGGCGCAGATCATCGTCATCCTCGTCCACGACCTTCGGAGTGCAGCATTTAGGGCCTAGGGTGTTCGAGGTAGCCATAAACCTTACACCGTAAAAAGAACCAGTGACTCAACAAAACTCACACCCAGGCCGTAGCCGTTGGCACTACTGTCTATGCTTTCCGGCTGGCTCCGGTGCTTCCCGAGTGTAGGTGTAGAGCTTAAGTTAGGGTTTAGCGTTTTTTTCGAAGTGTAATGGCGCCCCTTTTCTGTTTGGGGTTGAAGGTTTAGGGTTTAGGGTTTACGATTTAGGGTTGAGGGTCTAGAGAAATCTGTCTGAATGCTTTGCTTGTTCTTGGGCTTCAGAAGAAGATGGTTCAACAAAAAGCAATGGTCGACGGGCTCCTATCAGATCAAGGACCCAAACTGACACGAACCAGTGAAGCCCTAAGTGCCAAACTCCCCTGGACCCTTTCCAAGCGAGAATGACCTACTGTTGAGTCTGCAGAGGGCTTCGGAACCCGAAACTGGTTGAAACCCGCAAGAAACGGTATGCTTACCAGTACTGTTCCTTAGAATTCCTTACTCTTAATATTATCCTGGAATATATCCCAAAACACTGCTGTCAAACCCTGTTAGTGCAAGCGAGAAGCCACACTATAGATGGATCGTTGATTTGGGGTGTAGTTCTGTGGAGTCTCTGGGTGATCACTTTCCGAAACAGAGCACACCATGCTCCTTGATGAAGGAAGAGTCCTCAAACTGGAGAGGGCCTCTGCATAGTTTTCGTGAAAGGACCCGAAGCACTTAGCCAAGCGCCACTCAAGAAGGGAAGAACTTCGTCTCTTAGCCATTCCACAAACATCTTATCGAAGGCCTCAAGAAGTGGGATGAAGGTAGGTAGGATGAAGGATCCCTCATATAGGGACTCTTATTTGGGAATATCCCTCCCACCTTCATCCTACCTTTTGAGGCCTCCGATCTTAAGAACCCCACGACATCTCCACCCCGGACGAGGCTCCCTGTTGCAGAAAACAGTTGGTTTTGAAGCTCAGCTGGACAACGGTTTAGGGTTTAGGGTTCAGGGTTTAGGGTTTATTAGGGTTCAGGGTTCAGGGTTTAGGGTTTGGGGTTTAGGGCCCCTGCAAGCCCCCGAAGCCCGAAACTCTAAACCGTAAGCCCAAAGCCCTGGATCCTGCAAGCCCTATCCGGTCAACCTCACACCGCAAACCCCAGATCCCTCTTCGAAGCCGTCCTCCGGTTCCGAGGGTGTCTAGGGTTTAGGGTTTAGGGTCTAGGGTCTAGGGTTTGGGGTTCAGTAGGACCCGGGGAACCTTCCTTCGGGAACCCTAGAGCCTAAAGCCTAAAACCCTATATAAACCCTCAGGAAACCCGAACCCTAAAGCCTACACCCGACACCCTACCGGGAGTCCTAAACCGTAAAACCCGTAACCTTAAACCCCCAAAATGTTTGGGAACTCTAAACTCTAAATCAACCCTAAACCCTTATATAAGGATCCCATACCCTCCCTAACCCCTTACGGAACCCTAACCCTCGACCTAAACCCTTAGGGACCTCTAAATGCGTGGTTCTCCAGATTAGGGTCCCTTTTTCGGGTCCTTCTTGTGTACGGGTGCCGTATTTTATTGTTGCCCCTGACAAGGAACTCATTTAGAGAACTACCCAAATCCTAAAGCTAAAGCCCTCAACCCCTAAACCCTAAAACCCTACACCCTAAATCCACCCTAAAACCTAAACCCCAAACCCTAAACCCTAAACCCACCCTGAACCCGAAACCCGAAACCCTAAACCCTAAACCCTAAACCCGAAACCCTAAACCCTAAACCCTAAAACCCTACACCCTGAAGGGCACCCTAAAGTCTGAGCAGTCGAATCTGTGAGCCTTGAGACCTGGCAAGGTCAGGTCGTCATGGGCAAAGTAGGGCATTCCTAGGCCCTTTTGGCCAGAGGTTTTTTAGGGCTGTAGGGTTCAGGGTTCAGGGTTTAGGGTTTCGGGTTTGGGGTATAGGGTTTAGGTTTTTGAGTATAGGTTTTCGGGCGTGGGTGGTTTTGGAGGTTAGGGCTTTGAGGGGTTCCGGCTGTGGGCTTTTGCTGCTGGACTTGCGACTTAGGACTGAGCCCCTACGGTTTAAGGGGGTTTCGGGGTTTAGGGGTTGGGGGCAGGGCGGGGGGTCTTTGTATGTTTACATACTTGGCTAGGTAATTTTACACAAGGGCCCGACACATGAATGCTCACTATCCCTTGATGTTTGCTGCACCGGGTTGCGCTCAGCTCTGCTGGAGCCAGGACAGAACATCTGGGGGCTTCCGAAAATAGGGGACCCTAATATAGTATCTTAAATAGTGGGATCCTTTTTAGAAGGACCCCAAAATAAGGTACCCTAGTTTTGGGAAAGTCCCACATCTCGCACTCTGGCCACAGGTCGGGATGGTGGGTGTCGAGGTCACGAGAGCCCCTTGAGATGAAAGTGTTGGGCTTTGGAATTACTTCACTCAGAAAGCCAGAAGCCTTGTGGGCTTCTGGGGTGTATGGGGCTTTGAAGCTTGAACACCCAAGTTTTGAGGAAACGGCAGATACGTGCAAAGCCGAGAAACAAAATCACACACTCCGTCGACTCTTCCCACGAAGACCAAGGCCCGAAAGACTCAAGCCACACTCAAGGGGGCCTCAATAGCTTCAGGGCTTCGGGTTTAGAGGGCCCTTCACTATAACTTTGTTGGGGAGATAGAGGGACACTGTTGGATATTCTTACTCGTTATCCAGACCCCTGGTTTTATGGGGCTTTGAGGTTGGGGTGCAGTTGACCCTGCGTAATTGGAGGTACACAAGCAGATACAGTGCCGCTCTCGCAACGTATCATCACCATCGAAAAGTTCTGACCCCCTTCAAGCTCGAGCCAAAACCGATGTTCATCCCCAAATACCGTCATCTCCGAAAACAGGACCCCTCGATGTCTTCAAGAAACAATAGCACTCTGCGTATGCCACTCATGGCCGTACCATAACCAAACCCGCTTCGACCACCACCACCACCACCACCACCACGATCATCATCATCATCATCATCACCATCATGTTCTTCATCACCATCATCATCATCATCGTCGTCATCACACAAGCAACCAAAACAAGACCAGCAGCTACAGCAAATAAACCCGCGAGAAGTCTACATACCATTCGCAAACATGGCAGAACCCTGAATAGCACTGTTCTAAACCAGCGTCGCTTGGAACCTTCCTGACAAGATTCCAGACCGCAGAAATCCCCTCTTCCATCTGAAAACCCCAACCTTAAACCCATGAACCCTCTGAAGCCCCATGGGCGCATCTGCAGGGCGCGGGCGAAGAGCCAGCTTGCGATAGGCGGAGCGGATCTCGGTGGAAGGCTAGATGGTTTAGAGTTGAGGGTTCAAGGATTTAGCATGAAAGAGTAAGGGTATGATGTTTCGGGTTTGGGGCTTAAGGGTTGAAGGCTCGAGGGTTTCTAAGTGCTTAGGAATTGACGGGGCTTTAGACTAGACGTCTATTTACAAGGCTATGTCAGGGCTTCAAAGAGCCCAGCATCGCTTCCTTGGGGAAGAGCTCAGCCCCGTTAATGTAAGGGCCTCAATAACTACCTAAACTATTGGGGGTTTAGGGTTTAGCGTTAGTATACTATTCCATAGGGTTTTGGGGTTGCGTATCACATACCCCAGAAGCCTATTCTAATGATTGAGGCCCCTATATTCATCAAGAAAGACTCCTCCAACTGTAGTAGAGACCCTCAGTTGGAAAGGCTTATTCAAAAGAACCAATAACTGTAACCCCCATCACGTCTCCAAAGCCCCCAATACATGTTTGGGGCTTATGGGCTGTTGTTCGGTTTAGGGTTTGCTCAGTCGAACCCTAAACCCTAAAACCATTAACCCTCTGCGCCACACTCAAAGACGGACGGTTTCCTGCTGACTGCAGGCTCCGTCCTCCCAAGAAGCACCATCTATAAGGCTTCCATAAGGGTTCTGGAAACTATAAGGGTACTATAAGGATACTTTTAAGGGTACAAATTGAGATTTTGCTGGCGTTTAGGCTACACTGCTACACTGTTCTGTTGGTGCGCCCGGGCGCTGGAATTTTGGGATTTTTCCAGTGTCAACCCGAGGTCTCAAAAATAACTCGCACAAAAACAACTAGCTGGCGCAAAATGACGTCCGCCATGATTGTTCAGTATCGTCAAAGATAAGTGTCACAAATTTGCAGTCGCAACAATGCAACTGCTGCTCTTCTGGCCACGAACCTGCTTCTCATCCAGGGGCGGCTCGATCTGCAGTACCTCCGAAGCAGTCGCAGTCTAGAATGTAGAAACCCCAGGATTCAAGCCCAAGCCCCTCACAGCCTAAAGCGCAAACCAAAAATGCGGAATCCTAGATCCTAAACAATACACAAAAACCTCACTCCTAAATCCTAAACCCAACACCAAGGTTCCTCCCTCCAACCTTCAGGCTCGACATGGTTAGGATTCGATCAATTCGGTGGTATTTAGGGTTGTAGGTTTAGGGTGTAGGCTGAAGAATCAGAGAACAGGTGTCGGTGAGTATCACATGCACGTCATATTGTCGCGGATCATGGAAAGTATAGTAAGACTGTCACATTAGAACAGGGTGTTGAGGTACATTATACGAGCTGTAGACATAAGAAGACGCCACAAGGACTAGTTCAGCAATGACCCTAAACCCTAAACCCTAAACCCTAAACCCTAAACCCTAACCCTAAACCCTAACCCTAAACCCTAGAGCCCCAAGCCGACACGCTGGATCCCGAAAACCCCAAAGCCCGACACCCGGAGATCCGAAACGCCCCAACGCCAAAGCCGAAACCCTCGAAGCTTCCAAAGAGGTACGAGAGAGGGTTTTAGGGTTTAGGGTTCAGGGGTTTAGGGGTTTAGGGGTTTAGGGGTTTAGGGGTTTAGGGGTTTAGGGTTTAGGATCCCCTTAAAAACCTCACCATGGTCGAGTCTAGTTAGGGTTAAGGGTTTAGGGTTTCGACAGATCTTGAGAACTTTTTGTGAGCTGATTCACAGGAGGCAACACAAGTCATCATGGGCAGGAGAGGAACGCTCTGCAGGGTGCCCACAGCCGACATATCCAGTGGATTCTTCTCGTCTACTCCACGAAGTGTCTGATTTGGGGGAAGGACGGCAGGTTAATGTAGTTGATCTGGTGTGACAGTGCAATGCTGAGGGGCTGCAGAGCCATTCTGAATGGCGGGGCCAACAGTCCATTAGGCATAGATTGGGTCAAGTAGGAATAGAACAACAAGAAGGAAGTCAAAAGGAGCAAGACCACTCTGCTGGCCCCGAAACCTCAAGAGACGCTCGCTACAGGTTTACCTGGGAGAGCGCCTCAGTGACCCGGTGCTTCTAGTGCACGGGCCGATGTACATCCTTTGATGCTGAGGCCAACTGCCTTCTTCGGCAGTTGGAGCCGCCGCCCTAGCGACGGTATGTAAATCAAACAGCCCCTTTTCTCGCAAAGTGCCAGCTTAGAGATCAGCACAATCCGAGGTGGAGGCAATGCCAGCAGCCGGGCCGTTGGTGAGAGCGGCCACCATGTCGGAGATGTCGGCCGTGCACAGAGCCTGAGTTGCTGCTGACGTGCTTAAACGACAAAGCCACCAAGATTGCATGAAGATGCAGTCATCCGAAGCCAACATCAACACCCCTGTACACACACTGAAAGGCCTTAATTGATTAAACCCGCCTTCTGGTCGGCACCCACTTGGCAATCCGAGACGGCGAGGGCCGTGAACTGGGAGATCCAGGCAAAGGAGGAGATGATGTTCATGATGCCAACAGCGCAGGACTTCGGGTCCGCGCAAGCGCTGCCCGCAGCACGAATCTGGAGGATGACTCGGACGATGTCGGAAGCGGAGTTGGTGACGTCCACAGCGCACTGCACGATGTCGTAATCGCGGTTGCGCTGTTGGTCCTTATGGCCCTTGACCTTCAAGGCCTTATCGACCGCCGGTGAGGCTCCTGCTGGGACGAACTGCTTCCAGGGAGGGGAGATCGTCTCCGTGCAAGTCAGGATCTGGAGGGCGTTCTTGCCGAAATTGCAGTCCGCCCTGGCAGCGGCGCCCACAGTGGCAATCTCGCCGAAGTTGGCCATAAGTGCTGTGAAGTCACCAGCACAGAGCGCACCGTTGTTGACAGCATTGCCGCAAGCATTCGCCGCAAAAGACAGGTACGAGGCGATCCAGCTAATGGAGGTGATGAAGCCTGCGACGCTGGCGGCGCATCCGACAGGCGAGTTGTTCGGGCACTCAAGGCCATCGTAGTCGATGGCCTT